GTTGTTTTTTGAGGCGGGGCTGGAGCTGCGCAGGGGGGGGGCATGCGAACGCCGTGACACTGTGCCCTGGTCCGATCGAATGAAAAAAGTTCTCGTCGTCGTCGCCCCCCGCCCCGCCCGCGCGTCGCCCAGTCGCTGGCTTCGGGCCGCTCGCGTCGCGGTTGCGAGCGGGGCCGCCGCTGTCTGCGCCTGACATGCACCGCAGTTGTTCTGGCCCGAGGGCGCTTCGGCCAATGGGGCGAATCGCCTGCTGCCAGGGGCCCAGCTGCGCGACCGCGGGGGGCCGGAGTGGCAGAGTGCGCGAACTCGAAGGAGCACCGCGCCTCGCCGAAGGATCTCGACTTCAACGACAAAGGGCGATTTCTTGCGCGACGTCAAATGCGCGAAGGTTAGCGACGCGGTTGACATGGCGAACATTGCGTTGCTATTGGTCCACATCTTCGCGGTGGTCATGGGCCTCCTGCAAGTGTCGCACGAGCGCCCCAAGTGCGTGGCGGCGACAACAACGAACCCGTCTATCACCAGGAGAAGGGCACGATGGCGCGGCGCCGTTGCGATTGCGACCGCGCGTGCTCCTCGCGCCATCCGCAGAGCCACGCGCCCATGATTGCTGGCTCGACTCTGCGGGGCGCCCAGCGGCCGCCGCGGGAGAAGTTCTTCGGCGCCATAGTCGCGCGGGCCGCGGATTGCCCTCGGCAGCTGGCGCAGCGAGAGTCGGGCTTGACCTGCAAGACGGTTGACTGCTGGGCGTCGCTCTTCCGGGGCAAGGTGGCGCATGCGTTCAACGGCATCGTGCGCGTCTACATCTGGGTTCTGGCCGAAAGCGAGCAATATGCCGAAGGGCGCGGCCGCGGTCGAGACCCGCGGCCTGAGCTCGCTCGGCGGGAAGACGGGCAAAGGCGGCGGCGCAAAGGTAGACGGCCAGCATCCTGCTGAGCAAGAAGGCCGACGCATCCAAATTCAAGGTCGCGGCGCAGGTGGACAAGGCGCACCTCGACAAGAAGACGCCCGGCGCTCTCCAGAGGGAGGCCCGCTCTTGTAGGGGCCAGGTTTGGGTTTTGGTCGGCATGCGGCCCCCGCCCGCGCGCTGGGCCATCCGAGTGGCGTTTTCGATGGAAGGCCCCGCGGGCGCAAGCAGATGCCGACCAACTTCCACCTGCTCGGCATGCGCATGGGCGCCATCTGGCGAGCGACTCCTGGAGGGCCGCGGCTTCCGCGTGTTCTCATCGCTGGCGGGATTGAGTCCGCGCGGCCCGGCGAAGCGCCGGGGCCGCCGCGGGCGCGGCGGGCGGGTGCCGAGCCTCTGTCGTCGGAAGGAGTGACGCGGCCTGCTCGCCGCGCTGCAGTGGCGGGAGCTGGCGGCCGCCCGGGCGCTCGACTACGGCCTCGCCTTCCGATCCCCGCCCCGCTCGTTCGCCAGCGCGCGCGCGCCTGAGCCGCTGCGACTTGGCTAGCGGCATTGCCCGGGCGCCGCCGTGACCATGCTTGAGCGCATTGCGCGGCGATCGCCCTGCAGGCCTGTGCGACGATACGCTGCTTCAAGCGTGGATACCCGTTGCGATATGCGAGGTCGCCTGGGGAGAACTAGCCATCATTCACCTATCAATCGCCATGTTTTCGGAATGACCATTTTGCAGCGGCCCCCCTTGGACACCCTAACATGATGATGATGATGATGATGTTTCATGCTGCTGCTGATGCTGATCGTGATGATCGTGCTGATGACGGCGTCGGAAAGGACGAAGACGATGACGATGATGACGATCCGGATGTCGACGATAACGGTGATGATGATGATGATGGCGATGGTGAGTATGATGGCGACGATGACTATGAGGATGATGGCGATGAGGACGGTGACGACGGCGATGGCGATGACGACGATGATGCTGACGACGGCGATGATGATGACGACGACGACGGTCACGACGACGACGACGATGATGACGATGGTGGTGATGATGATGATGGTGGTGGTGGTGGTTGGCGACGGTAGTGGTGATAATGATACTTGTGATGGTGATGATGCTGATGATGATGATGCTGATGATGAAGATCGTTTGATTTTTTGGGGGGCTGTTGTCGGCTCTTGCGAGCCATTCTTGGTGGTCCCTTGGGGCCTTTTTGGGCCGTCTAGCGCTCCTCTTACGCTGGTTTCGGGCTCCCTTTTGCCGTCTTGGGGCTTTATTGGCTGCATGGTGGGTGTCTGCGAGAATGCGACAATCATTCACAACCGAGGAGGAATCAATGATTTGGGGCGTCCTTTTGTGGTCATCCTGGGGGGCCTTGGAGGCATCTTGGGCCGTCTTGAATCAATGTTCGGCCGCCTTGGGGCCATCCTGGGCAGTCGGGACGCATATCCATTGTTTGTGCCACGGGGTCATGGCTTGGGAGGCCCTTGAGCGCTTGGGAACAGCGCCTGGGAATGCGGGGAGTGTGCGATCCTCGAGCGGGTGCGCGTGGAATGAGGGGCCCACGACTTAGCAACCTCGCGGGAAGTGCACAAGCTTCGAACGCGCGTGGAACGAGGTTCAGGCATTAGCTGTCATGCGGCAAATACACCATCCTCGAGCTGGCACGAGTGGAAGGGGGGTGGGTCAGGCATCAACTGCCGTGCGGGAAGTGCTGAATCCTTGTGCGGACCCCAGGGAAATAACTTCGGAAAGACATGGCGATGCAAGCAACAGTCCGCGAGTGACGGGGAGGATCCATCATCATCATCATTCAAGAAGCCCTACCAGACAGACCTTGGCATTCCCGGAGATACGACCTTGCGAAACAAGTACACCATCGCGAAACATCACGCCCAGATCCCTGGGCGTCATTTTTCTGCGTCATGTTTCGAGCCGCATCGATCCGCGAGGGCCGCGGGGCCGGGGCCTGGGCGAAGATGCCCGTTCTGGAAAAAATGGCAGCGCCAGCATCCCTGGGTTCTCCCACGCACCCGCGCGGATGTGCCACCGCTTGTCCCCCTGCGTCCGGGACCGGTCTCGGGACGTGCCGGGGCTGCCTTGGGGGCCTCCCTCTGCGGGGGCTCTCCCGGGGCCGCCGCGGGCGCCGTTCCCGGGCCGCTTTCCGCAGGCCGTCGGGGGGCAAACCCAGCGCGCCATCTGGAGCTCCCCCTTAAACGACGACGACAACGACGACGACGACGGCGACGGAGACGGCGACGGTGATGGTGACGGTGACGGTGACGACAACGACGACGACGAAGACAAAGACAAAGACAAAGACAATGACAAAGACAAAGACGACGACGACGACGACGACGACAAAGACGACAAAGACGACAAAGACGACAAAGACGACAAAGACAAAAACAAAGACGACGACGACGACGACGACGACGACGACGACGACGGCGACGACGACGACGACGACGACGACGACGACGACGACGACGACGACGACGACGACGACGACGACTGCGGTCCGCTCAAAACCGTGAATATTTGAGATTCGGCGGCTCTGGAGGATGTATCGGGCACCGCGGCCTTCTCAGAGCGTTTTGGAACGCCCTGGAACGGAGGTATCCTCGTCCTAGCCCCGTCTTGCCCCGCCTGGTTTTGCTTCCGCCGTACTTTTTGAGCACTTCGCAAGCAGGGTCGACAATTTAGACTCTTTGGGTCGTGAAAGAAGTCACGGTGGAGTTTTTCCGTAGTTTTCTTCCGTATTTGGAAGCCCTTGTCAGGCCTCGGGACCGTGAAAAATTACTTGGGCTGAAAAATTGGTCCCAGGGAGGTAGTCGAGAGGTCGGGGGCCCGTGTCTCGAAATATCGAGACGCCGTCTGTCTGGGGTATCCGCTCAATTTTGCCCTACTTTGCTACTTTGATGTCGAGTTCCGCCCTGCTTTGCCGTCGCTGCTCCCGCCATATACTTTTGCGGAAATGTCCGCTTTAGCTTTGCGAGGCGCTATATAGTTTCACATGTTTTGGGATGCATTCCGATACATGGTAAGTCAGAAAATCAACCAAAGTACGGCAGATACGAAGTCGGGGCACCGCGTGTGGCCGTGCTGGGAGCCGTAGGCCAAGAAGTGGTGTTGCGAGCGCAGGGACGCGAGCAACGGGTATCAGTGGTTCTGGCAGCGCGGGATCTCACTATTTCCTGGCAGCACCAGGGGTGGGAGGGGGGGGCTTCTGCGGTGCCGTCAGCTCTTCCACCGTCGCCGGGCGGTCTTCGGGGGTCGCGGTGCTGTTCGGTGAAGCATTGGGCCTTCGGGGGGGGGTCTTCTGGCTGTCCCGGAGGGGGGGGGCGGGGAGCAGCTCCCCGGGAGTGTGGCCAGCTCGGCCCCGTTGTGATCCAGCTTGGGCGTGCAGGGCCAGGGGCCTGCCCTGGTGCACCGGGGCGCGGCAGGAGGGCTGCAAAGGGCTGCTGCGTGGGGGCGTTCGCCAGATTGAGGCATGTGCGCAGGATGCCTCAAGACCCTGGAGGATTCCTCGTCGGAGGGGGGCGGCGGTGATGTCCGTGGCCCAGCCTCCCTCCATTGGTGCGCAGCCAGGTTTTCAGACCTTGGGGTCCTTATCCAATGGTTCCTCAGTGCCTTCACCGTACCAGGAAGTTGGATCCTCCTCCTCCTCCTCCTCCTCCACCTCCGCCGCCTCCTTCGCCTCCTCCTCCGCCTCCTCCTCCTCCTCCCCCTCCTCCTCCTCCACCTCCTCCCTCTCCTCCTCCTCCCTCTCCTCCTCCTCCTCTTCCTCCTCCTCCTCTTCCTCCAATCCCCTCCACCCGTCCCGACAGCACGTGCCCACCCCCCCCAGCGGATCCAGGGCGTGTGTGTGTGTGTGTGTGTGTGTGTGTGTGTGTGTGTGTGTGTGTCTGTGTGTGTGTGTCTGTGTGTCTGTGCGTGCGAGTGCGATCATTGGCCCACCCAGAGTCTGTTTCCAGCTTCCTGTCAATGTGAGACGCAGGTTGCCCCGACACCGTGGGCGGGGCGTCAGCTTCCTTCCCGGGGGGGCCTCGCGCGCCGCAGCGACCGCTCCGAGGGGGCCCCGCACAGGGCCTGCGGCGCACACGCCTGCCGCGGCGGTCGCGGCCGCGGAACTTGATAACCACAACGAGGCGCTCTTCGAGTCGCCGTTCAAGACTATCAGGTGCATTGCAGCGGTGCCGCTGTGCGACGACAGGTCGGAGGTGAAAGCGGCGCCGATGCCGTTCTCCTGGCCTCGTGTTCGCCTGTTTTGGGGGCTCCAGGGAGACCTTCATCGCGACGGCTGGGTTCACCTCGAATTCTGGTCGGAACGCACCGGGGAGAGGTCCAGGGATGCGTGGTACCGGTGCCTTTCGATTTCCCCAGCAGGGGCTGTGTTGTTGCAGTGGTGAAGTTCATCAACCGCACCTCTGGCGACAAGCTTCCCGTGCTGGAGTTTTCGAGGTCAGACTTGCAGATGCTGCAGGCTGTGGCGGACGTCTTCCAGTGCATCGCACACGGGCCGCTGCTGACAGCGCCAGGTGTTGGACCCGTTCGTCCGCCACGTGTGGAGCTGACGGTATCCGACGACAAGGTGGGGGCGGTGGTCGGTTGGCAGATCCTCGGAGACGTGGGTCCTGCCCTCCTCCACGAGATCTCCTACGCAGCCGTGGACGACGCGGGCCTCTCCGCCTCGCAGGTCGGCGAGGACCGCTGGCGCGCCGTGCCCTGCGGAGCCCTCGTCCCCTCCTCGGTGGAGGGTGCCTCTGGCGGAGCCGCCGCGGAGCAGCACTTCGAGTTCGAGGTGCGCGGGCTGCAGGCCGACGCCTTGTACTCCTTCCGAGTGCGCGTGGGGAGCCTGTCCGCCATGTCGCCCTGGTCCGCGCCCACCGAGCTGTCCACGGGGCTCGTGCCGCCGTACGCTGGGGTGGGCGAGGTCGTCGACGTCTCCCCGACGAGCGACTCCGAAGTGCTGCTGACGTGGGGGCCCTTCTTCACCTGCAGCTCTGGCCTCACGGCGGTGGAGTACTGCGTGGTCGCGTGCGGCGTCGCAGGGTCTCCTGCTGCAGATGATGGCGGTCTTCCGCAGCGGCTGTCGCATGTGTTCATCAGCGACGGCACGAAACCCCGGGAGGCCTTCCGCATCTCCGGCTTGAACTTCCACATGGCGTACTCGTTCGAGGTCCGAGCCCGGTACCCTTGCGTCGGCGCGAGAGAGTTTTCGCTGGCGCTGCGCGCCGACGAGTTCGTGTTCCCTGGCCTCGACTACACCCTCCCGGCGCCGCGCCCGCTGCCTTTCGACGATTTGCTCGGCGCCGCGGAGCCGCCCGCCGCGCCGCTTCTCACGCTGTGTTGGCCGTACCCCCCGGAGCTGCAGGTCGGAGGACACCAACCATACATTCGGTAGCAAGGCATGGGAGCCTTGTCTGTATACCCTTGTCATCCCGCTTCAGGAGTGCACTGGCGTCGACTCGCGTCTGGTAATCGATGAGATGGTGCTGAGATAGCGCCAGTTTGGGCGTCGGCCACTGGCGCCGATCAGCGTCGACTCGCGAGGGCCAACAGGACGGCGGGAGGCTCCCGCGAGTTGCCGCGGGCCGCGCACCTGCGCCGAGCCGGGCCCTGCCCGCCGTGGGCCTGGGATCGGTGCACGTGCCTTCCCCCCCCCCCCGGCAGGCGGGCGCGTGCACCGCTCCGGGGCCCAGGGCGAGCCTGCCCCGACTCCGGATATCCGCCCTGCTTTGGGGTTGGAGTTTCCGCCTTACTTTTCAATTGCAAATGGGGCTTGGAATTTCCGCCTTACTGTGCAAGCCCCTGCTGATGCCAGTTTCCGCCCTACTTTTCTGTTGCTGTTTCCGCCCTACTTCCGTGTATTTCCGCCCTATGTTATGTTGGGTGCAGAAATGTGCGCCCTACTTTTTCGGCTTCTTACAGGTGGATTTCCGACGCAATTTTAAGTTGGAGAAAAAATCAAAGTAGGGCGGATCTGGAGTCAGGGTGGCCAGGACCGGTGTGGGCGCACACTGGAGCGACGTAAGACGGCGGGGTCGACTGCGCCGACGCTCGCGCGCACGCTTCCCGCGCCAGGTGGCGCGCAAGCGCCTCCGTCTCCACTGCGGCTTGCCGCGCTGGTGGCCCGCGCACGCCGCGGCGTACGGCCGCCGTGCCACCTCGCGCCAGGCCCGCTTCTGATCGTCGCTCGCTTGGCGCCCTACCAGCTCCTAGCATGGAGTCGGGCCTGTCCCTCTACAGGGGGAATCTTCAACATAGCATTTCAAAAAGATACTCTGGGGACTATGTTTTGGAGTATTTTTGGACCAGTTTGGAGTATGTTTCGAGTATTTCTATGTTTCGTCGAAAACTCCCCTGCAGGACGGCCTGACGCTGCAGTACCGCACGGCCTTCGCCGCCGCCGGCGGGGCGGGCCCGCTGCCGCAGCTCCAGGCCGCGGCGGCGCAGACAGACCCGGGGGGGCCCTCTGCGGCGGGCGGCGGCAGCGGGCCAGCGGCAGGCCGGCGGAGGCAGAGCTGCGGCGAGCTCGGCGGCGGAAGCTCGGCGGAGCAAAAACCGAAGACCAAACCATACATAGATATACACCTATGTGTACATATCAATATGTGTGTATATGCATATATATATATATATATATATATATGTGTATGCACATGTGTATATATATACATATATATATACATACATCTATATATATATATATATATATATATATATATATTCCTCTTCCTATATTTTTATAAGCCCGGGCGGGGGGAAAACCCATCCCCCCCCCAAAACCGGACTCCCGGGACCTGGGGCTTTGGGGCCCTCCGGACGGGCCTCGAAGCGGCCACTGGGCCTCGCAAGGCGTTTTGCCAAGCCTTCCCAGCACACTTAGGGCGATCAGGGGGTCATCGGAGACGTCCCAGAGACCCCCAAGACAGCACAAGAGCGCTCCAAAATGACCGACGTGACCTCAAGATGGCCCAAGAGGTCTCCAGGACGGCCCCAAAGAGGCCTCCAAGAGCACTCCCAAGAAGGCCCCCCGAGGCAAAAAAACATTGATTTTCTTTGTTGTTTGGTGAATTTTGGGGTTCTCCTCTTTTCGGCTTCCCGACGCTCCAAGACGGCGGTCTTCCGGGCGTCCGAAGCCGCCTGGGAGGTTCCCAAATCGCCCCACAACCATCCGAAAGGGCTTCCAGGCAATCCAAGAGAGCCCCAAAACGGCACAACACGGGTCCAAGATGGCCCTAAGACACCCTCCGAAGAATTCCAAATCGTGATTCGGTCGTTCAGGTAGACGGCGGTTGGAGGCAGGGTGGCCCGAGGAAGCCCCCGGAGGCCCCCAGAATACGCCCAGGAGGCCTCCAGAAGGCCTTAAGAAAGCCCGAAGCAACTTTTGTGAGGCCCCTAGAGGCTCTCCAAGGAGGAGCCTCCGCAAAAAAGAGCTCAGGAGGATTGGGAAAATGCGCAGGGTATGGCGAAAATAAAAAACAATAAGCATTGAGGAAGGATAACGAATAACACCATTATAGCGGCGATGCCGGAAAAGGCAACCAGGAGTTATCGCTATATTGTCGGCTTGACCTTCCTGCCATTCCGCCTGCATTCCAAACTTCAAGGACCAAGGTGCATGGCGCGAAGCGTCACTGCAGTCTTGTATATGTATATGTATATGTATATGTATATGTATATGTATATGTATCTGTATATGTATATGTATATGTATATGTAGATGTAGATGTAGATGTAGATGTAGATGTATAGATATATGTGGATCCATGTTTGCATCAATATATAGATGTGTCTATATCGATATATATATATACACACATATATATGCGTATATATATATACAAGCAGAAGCTCCACTAAAGGAAAGGCGAGGTGTCAACATGTGTCGCCGCGCCGTTTGTTCCGACGCGCGGCTTTCCGTTTTGGGGAGGGCGCCGCGGGCACCAGGGCGAACTCCGCCTCGGGCGCAGGGCTTGCCGTGTGGTTTGCTGCGGCGTCGGCGTCGTCTACCTGGGGCGCGGGGCTTGTTTCGAGTAATGCAAACGGCACAACCACAAGCGCTCGGAGCAACATGCGTGTGACTTGGGCCCCGCCTTCGCCCAATATCTTGCGTATCAACATATGCGTGTGTGTGTGTGTCGGGTTGGGAGGATGGGGTTGGGAGGATGGAAGGACAAGTATCGGGTTGGGAGGATAGGGTTGGGGGAAATGAGGATATCCTTAGGCGGGCGAAAGTCTCGTTCACTGCATCTGGATGCCATTGCTCATACCCTTTATCCTCCCAACCCCTTCCTCCCAATACGATAATTGCTCTCCTCAATGATACATGTCATGCTTGTTTCGAAGAACAGAGCATTGCATGCACACAAGCTTTCGGAGCTCCGCGCGGATTTCTTGGATCGGCGCTGGGCCCCCTGGCGGCGCCTATGGCACCACCTTGGCGCGCTCCGCGCGCCAGGGAGGGCTGTCCGGCGCGGATCCAGTAAACCCGCGCGGACTTCCAAAGTTTATTTTCACGCAGATTCTTCATCCTCTACAAAAGTAAACGCGAGACGTCCGTATGTTTGGATCCAGAGTTTCTGCAGCGGGCCAAGTTCTAGGCCTCCCGGATGGGGTCCGAGCAGATGGGGTCGGAGGATCGCGCCGCATCGCCGATGCATCACCGATGCGGCTAGATGTGGATCCCCATGTTCTCCACGTCGACGTCGCCGATGTATCGCCGACGATCGGCGATGCATCGCCAATGCATCTCCGATGTATCGCCGAAGCGGTGCGATCCACCGACCTCATCGACGCGGATCCCATTTGGGAGGCCTCGAACGTTTGGATCCAGGGTTTCTGGAGCGGGCCAGGTGTCTGGCTGGTTCGAGCAGAGGCTGGAGGAGGTTCGGCACACGCTGCGGAAGCAGGGAGCCACCGCGGACACGGTCTGTGCGCTGGACATCCCGGCCATCCAATCCGCACTAGCAGTGCAGTTTCGCGTCCTCGCGAGATTGCCGCGGAGCCGCGCGTCACCTAGCTCTGTCTGGTTTCATCCAAAGCCCGTGGAGCCTCCCGTGAATGTCTGCATGGGACTCTTCTGCAGTGAGGCGAGTGGCCTCGCGCTGCAGGTGGCCTGGGACATCCTTCAGGAGTTCGACCCTGGCCCGCTCAACCACGGTCCTACGGGGTGTGCCGTCTGCCATGACCTCGCAGGTGGGCGTGGCCCTGTCCCAACCCACTTCCAGCTGCGGCTCCGGTGGATCTTGCAGGAGGACGCCCAGGTGGCCCGTGCCTGGACGGAGCTGCAGCCCGAGCCGCTGCCACAGGCGGCGGCAATCCCCGCCGGCGCGGCCGGAGACTTGCCCTACAGGTGGGCGACGCAGAGAAGCGAGTTCGTCTGCCTCGACATTGTCGCGTAAGTTTCCCGCGTGGGGTCGCGCGTGAGTCCCTTCGTTTCCAGTGCAGCGTGCAGGGCCGTGCTGGCAGCCCGTGCAAGCCACCGCGTAAGGTCGCCGTGTCATGTCGCGTAACGCCCTGGTTCTTGGCACGAGACAGTGCCAACATGGTTGGGAGGGCCCACTCAGTGTTGCTGCTTCTTCCACGGCCCTGCGCCGAACCTGACAAGGGCAGAGCAGGCAGCAGCAGCAGCAGCAGCAGCAGCAAGGGGACGCGTGCCCTTTTTCAGCTGACGGTGCCGATGCCGCCGTCGGTAAGACCTTGGACCCCTTTCTTTTTTTCACTACCCACCAAGTCACCCCAACCCAACCCGAAGGCCCCAAGTTGCCCTCCATTCCCAGTGGGGGGGGCATGCGGGAACATGGAACAAACACAAATGGAACCCGCTCTCCTCCCAACCCCAAAATTTGGGACTTCGGGTTGGGATGGGGTGGTCTGGTATAGGTATAGTCTGTCTTCGCTCCTCAGGTGGCTGCTCCGGGAGAGCCGCTGGTTCGCACACCTGGGCGTGGTGCTGGAGGCCCAGCTCCGCCTCGGGAATGCCCTCTCCTGGTCCTGCTGGTCGCCGGGCGTCCGGGTCAGCGTGGCCGCGCGCCCGCCGGTGCCCCGCGCGGGCCACGCGCTCGAAGTCGCGGCCGTGGGCCGCGACGCGGCCCGCCTCACCTGGCACCACTTCAGCCCCGGGTGGCCCGAGCTGCGGGCGCTGGAGTACCTGGTGCTGTGCCTCGAGCTGCCAGGCTCGAGGGGGAGGAGATGGCACGGTGCGGGAGCCCCCGGAGGTCCGCGCGGGCTTCCTGGATCGGCGCTGGGCCCCCCTTGGTCGCGCCGCCAGTCTCCGGCGCGCTCCGCGCGCCGGGGAAGGGGGTCCTCCGCCGAGCCGCAGCCGCAGCCCGAGCCGCAGCTCAAGCCGCAGCTTGAGCCGCAGCCCGAGCCGCAGCCGCAGCCCGAGATGCAGCAGGAGCCGCAGCCGAGACAGGGGGCCTGTAGCCGTTGGTTTCGGGGACGGAGAGAGCGGTCGGAGGTCGGGGACGGAGATCGCAGTGGAACGGAGAGCCCCCCACCGCGTAATCGGATTCGGCTTCGTGTCATGAGTGCGGGCGAGGCGAAGCTGCGTAGGCGGGCGACAGGAGTGATCCCGCCCCGGCTTGGGCGGAACCGGGGCTCAATGCCTCTCCTCCCCCCGGTTGGCCGGCGGTTGCCCGCAGGTGTCCCTCCGATATCCCGTGGTGTCCCGTGGTGTCCCGTGGTGTCCCGTGGCGCGGTGTCCCGCGATGTCCCATGGTGGCCCGTGGAGGTCGATAGTGAGATCGATAGTGAGATCGATTGAGTGGCATCAATAGTGAGACCGGTAGTGAGAACGATCGTCAGATCGATAGTGACATCGAAAATGAGATCGAGATCGATAGATAGTGAGATCGATAGTTTAATCGATCGAGTTTGATTCCGTGGGGTCCTGTAGGGTCTCGTGGTGTTTTGTGGCCTCGTATGTTGTTCCGTGGCGTCTCGTGGTGTCGCGTGCCGATAGATCGATAGTGCAATTTGTAGATAGTTAAGTCGATAGTGTGGTCGATAGATAGATGTCATGGTGCTCGTGGTCGATACTGGAACCAATGTTGAGATCTCTACGCAGATCGTGGGATCGATTGCGCGGTGGATAGTGAGATCCATAGGTAGTGCCACGGGTAAATAGATATTGGGTCGCGATGGTGTCATTTATTTGCCTCAGCAGTGGCTTCAGTTTCTCCGTCTGGGGGTGTTTCGATGGTGTCCCGATGGGGTCCCGATGTTGCCCCAGTGGTGTCCCAGTGGTCTCACCAGCGTCCTCCTTACGCATCGTCACCGACTCGTGAGCACATCACCCACGTCGTCACCGTCACAATCGTCGCAGTTGCCACCAGTCGCCCCCCTCCCCCGCAACCTCCTTATCACCCGAAGGGTGGTCGCATAGGTGTAGAATAAACTTTCCCGCCGTCGGGGACGCCTGCCCCAGGGCGACTGGAAAGGTTATACACCTACGGTGCCACGTCGGCGTATACATTGTCCATCCGCCCTGCGGCGGGGCACGCGACCCCGACGGCGGGCAAGTTTTCTCTTTTGTGTTGCCCTTCGTCCCCGAAATTGGTCGCGGGCCTCCGAATGTTCACTCGGGCCGCACGACAGGGTAGGATGGGGAAAGGAGGGGGGGGACAAAATCTGCTGCATGCAGCTGGTTTCGGCCCCGCCGCCAGGCCCATTCCTCGACGCAGGGGCGCCAGGAAAGCCAGCCGCGCGAGCGGATTCTCGACCCTATCCGTTTTTACGATCCTACTCTTTCGCCCCGCCCCCCCCCCCCCCCATCGACGTACGCCTGTGCCGCTCATTCCCCCCTCTGCAGACGGCGCGGGCAGCACACCGCGTGGCGGCCACGTCCAGGCAGGCGGCCGGCAGCCGTTCGTCTTCGACGGCAGGACGGTGTACGAGTGGGCGCAGGCCGCAGACGCCATTCACGTGTTCATCCGCCCCCCCCCAGAGGTCTAGGAGGAAGGAACAGATGCACACAGACACAATTCGTCTGAGCTCCGCGTGCATTTCCCGGGTCGGCGCTGGGCCCCCCCTGGCGGCGCCTCGGGCACCGTCCTTGGCGCGCTCTGCGTGCCAGGGAGGAGGCTCCAGCGCCGATCCAAGAAATCCACTCGGAGCTCCACAAGTTTCGATTCATACCGTTGCTCCTTCGTCTGAGGTCGGCAAGGCCCATTTCGAGATCGGCATCGAGCCCGAGCGCCTGAGCGTCGGGCTCGCGGGGAAGCCGCCGTTCCTGGACGAGGATTGGAAGCGGCCGGGGGGTCTGCGCCGGTGGGGCTGGAGAAAATCGGGCAAGGGAGGGGGGACGATGGCAAATCCGCTAAACGCTTGTTCCCAGACCTCTCCTGGGGTCGAAGCTGACAGCCGTCCAGCCGGCTCCAAGCTGAGGAGCCCTTCGGCCTCGTCAACCCGAGCATGTCCTCCTGGATGGTCGACGGCGGCTCGGGGGAAGGAGAAGCGATACAACCACCACCAGGGGGGGGGCAACCTCCAGCGAGGAGGTTCACGATGCCCCACCCCGAGCTGGGGATAGGGGATGTCTCGAGCGAGAGGGGGGGGGGGCCACGCCACGAAGGGGACTCCCCCTGGCTCCTCCCGCTGGTGGTCCCTGGTGGTGGTGGTGGTGTTGCTCTTCCTTGTTCCAAGGGGGGAAAAACCATCCCGACCCCGATAATCGGCGTTTACTAAACGGCCCTGGACGTGTACTAAACAGTCCTGCCCTGTTCGTTTCCTTCCTTGGGTGCTTTTACTAAACAGCTTTGCTTGTCGGGGTGCTTATTCTGTGGATGGATGTTCTGTCCTCTATTGTTCCCAGGCGGCGAGCTGCAGATCGTGCTCAAGAAGGCCCACTCGGACGAGACGTGGCGCGCCGCTCTGAAGGGGCACTGCCCGCTCGACGCTGTGGCCGAGCAGGAGGCGAGAGACCCGAAGCTCCGACGTCCCCAGATCTCCACGACGACGACGACGACGACGGCCGCCCCTGGCAGCTCGAGCGCCCGTGCGGATGACCACTGCCGTGCCGCGGCGGAAACAGCGTTTCTGTCCGGGCCTGGGCATCGCTCGGACGGACGTTTCCACTCTGCACGAACGAAATGGGCACGGAAAGAATGGGTACAATGCTCAACGGCAGTTCCTGTTCATTTTGAACAGGACTCGCTGTCCACGCCGCCGCGGCCTGTGTCCATTCGAGACAGAAGGCCGCCTGCCCAACAGCGGCCGCTGTTGGTTTGGGACAACATTTGTTGTTGGGCATTGTACCCATTCTTTCCGTACCCATTTCGGGCGTCCCAAATCTGGAAGCTCCTGGACCATCGTGAGAAGCAAAGGCGCGCACGGAGCCAAAACATGCACGACGGAGAGTGGACTTCCGAGCGACGGCAAGGGGCGTCTTTCGTGGATTTCGGCTTCCAGGGGCCCTTCTCGGGCCCATGACCACCAGAAGTGGATCCGGGGCGGAAACCTGCCACTGGGGAAGTTGTCGATACCTGACCTCTGTTGCCGCGGGTTGAGACCATACAGATCCACCATCAGATGTCTGGGGCGTGAGCCCCAAGAGGTCCCGCGGGAGCATGCTTCTGTCGGGCCGGACGAAAGGGGGGGATTGGGAAAGGGGGGTTACGAAATCTATTGCATGCAGCTGGTTTCGGACCCGCCGCCGGGCCCGTTACTCGATACATGGGCGCCTCCCCCCTTTGCTATCCCCCCCTTTCGCCCAGGCCGATCTTGTGAGGGTGGGTCTTCTGCGCGAGGCTCGTGTCGTGCCGCCGCGGCGGCGACCCCAGCGCGGGCGCTCAAGGTTTAACGTCGCCTGTGGCCCAGAATCGTCCAAGGTGGAACGACTTGGCGAGCGGCGAACCGCCGATCGTCCCAGGTTGAGCAAGCCACGCTGTGTCAAAAGCCAACGCTGGGGTCGCCACGATGCGACCTTGAATTCGGATCCGCTGTACTTTCTGGGCGATTTCGCAAGTAGGGCAAAAGTTTCCGCCCCACTGTCCAAGTTTCTTTGATGCCGAGTTCCGCCCTATTTTGCCGTCGCTGCTTCCGCCATATTTTTGCTGGAATATATCCGCCTTGCTATGCTGAGGCAGATATTTCCGCCTCACTTTTCCGCATCGTTTAGGGTGCATCTATGACACAACACTTACTCGGAAAATCGGCCAACGTCGGGCGGATCCGATGTCGGTTTTCGAGCCATTCGGGTCTTGATCAGGGCACTCCTGGAACGCCCTCAGCGAGGCGCACCTGCCGAAACGCACCCCACGGCTGGAAAATCGCCCAGAAACGACGACAACGGCCGAAAGACCTCGACCTCGAATCTTTGAAAGCCTCGGTTGGACGATCCACGCCGTGGCACAGGCCATGTCCCAAACCAACGCCGGGGCCGCCACGGCACCGTAAGGAGGCGAGCGAGGCGCTGGTGCTCGCAGACGCACCAACACTCGGCTCGCGGCCAGGCTCCTGTCGGGCGGGCTTCGTAGAAGCACCCCTGCTTCTTCAGAGGCGCGGGCCTCGCACCTAGATGTAAGGCCAGCGCCTTCCAAGAAGCAGCCTCCTTCTACTTCTAAGAAGCCGTCCCCCTCCCTCCACCCCCTTGCGCGCGCCGCCAAACCTAAATGGGGGGTGGAGCGGCCCAGAGCCGTCTGTCTTGATGTTTCTCTTCACGACGAGAGGGGGCGGGGGTGATCATGGCTTCGGTGGCAAATCATGGGAGCCGGGTGGGTCCTTTTCATTCCTTCTTCAGCGTCGACTAGCGTCGATTAGCGTCTGGGAGTCGATGAGATGCGCAGATTTAGCGTCGGCCAGCGTCTATTAGAGTCGGTCTAGCTTCAATGAGCGTCGACTTGGCGTCGACAGCCGTCGACTCGCAAGAGCCGACACGATGATATGGGAGGCTCCCACGACTTGCCACCGAAAGGGGGCGGGGGTGTTCGTTGCGAGGACGCCGCTTCTGCCCTCCAAGGAGGCGGGCGAGGCGCT